GAATAATTGGAAACTCATGGATCCCGAACCAATTGTGATGTGTCAATTCACGAATGATTCTCCCGAATGGATCAAGAGTAATCAACTGGCCCAAGATGCCTGTGAGCGCTTGATTACTCAGAAGGTCTACGGTGATGCTGGATCCAGAGACGACGACCGCGGCAGACTTTGCGGAAGATGCGCAGCTCTACGATCATACTATGTTCAAAACAGCAGCATACGCTACGAGTGCGGCACGCCATGTTTCAAACACGGATGCCGGGCAGCATACAGATGAAGCCGTCCAGCTTGAGATGGAAACAGGCGACTCAAAGCAGGCGCCAGTCAGCCCGCTGTGGATGGACTTCTCGTGAGAGCGGCATGGCTGGACCCGTCCATGTCTGCTGTTACCACTGGCTCGAGAGAGCTGGACTACTTCCACTCTCGTAGGCACGTTCTATATGAAAATTCCATAAACGAGAGCCTGGCAGCAATGCAGAGAGAGCACGTTCAGTAAGAGAGCCGCACAGGTAATGTTGTATCTTCTACATGAGGACCTCTTGGAAGTGGGAGCTCTTGATATTGCTTTCAGTCAACTTGAGCTGTGGTAATGCTGAAGTACAGGTCGTCGTAGTACATGATGTAAGACAGTGATTATACGAATGAATATACATGAATCAAAGGCTGAAGTATGATTGTATCTACATCACTACTGCAGCCAGTACATCATTGCGATAGCTCAATTCTAGCAAAGGCAACATCAGGAGCTCCCACTGCTTCCGAGAGGTCTTCTTGTCTCTGAGGCCAGGTGCCCCATGTCTTCTTTCCAGATGAGACTGCATCACCTGTCCCGGTCACTTGATGATCGCGCTCATTTTTCATTGCTGCGAGGCCTTCTTTGATAGAAGTCTCATACTCTACGAGCCTCTTGGAGTAGAATCGCCGCTCTTTAGGGGGAAGGCCGCAGAAAAGCTCAAACATGGAAGGTTCAAGCCATGCAACATTTACCAGATGTCCATCCACGGGCTGACCCACTTCGGAGCTTGCGTCGCCCGTCTCCCCTCCACGCAACACCTCCTCCTCGTTTGTTCGTTCTTGGTCACTTGTGAATGACAACTGATGAGCCACATCGAATGCTGCTTCCTCAAACAGGATATGCTCATAACGCTGCGTATCTTGCACAAAGTCGTCGGCCGTCCTGTCTCGACTTAGCGGGGCGGGCTCTGGGGTGAATGATTTATCAATTGATTCAAAGATGGAATTGATATAAGCATCTTGGACGCGTTTATCACTTTTGACCCATTCGGGAGAATCGTCGGTAATCCGACACTCAACACTTGGCTTGACATCCGATATCGCCCAGTCATCCAGTGACCTTCCGTCATCCTCCTCGCCGGAACGTGAGGAGGAGGCTCTCATCAGCTTGAAGGGCTCGAGAACGTCGGTTGTAAAAGCTATCTTGACAGTGTCTGGCGCTACAGCACAAAGCTCATCAAAGCTCTTTGCGCTTTTCACCGCACGTCGCGACCTATCTGCATACTCTCTTGGTCGCCTCGGCATGTCCCCGGGCCCAGTCAGCTGACCGCCATCTTTCAGATAGTCCTCCACATCCGAGTGCACTCGATAAGTGAATGGCCATGAGTCTCTTGAAGCATACTCGTTTTGCATGGCCTCTGAAAGATGGTTCTGATGGCGGGCAAAACTTTCGTTAGTGTATTGGCGGAACCTTCCCGATGGATCTCTCCATTGCGGTAGTATGGGTAGAGGGCTTTCATATTGTCGTTCGTCGCAGACACGAAAGACTCTAGCCATGAATTGACCCATTGCTACCACAGTCTCATGTGCCGGTGATGCCAGCACTTCTTCGCCGTTTTCATTAGTGCTCGAGCTCCTGAGAGTGAGGCGTCTTTCGATAAGAGGGTGCTCTACTTGTCTTTGCAGGTCGCGACCGCTAGCGCCGTCGGTGGAGACTAGAGTCGGATACGAGCCTTCGAGCAAAATTGTCGTGATGATGATTTCTGATTTGACATCACCGGTCTCAGGGTTGCTGGACATGTTGCGTCAGTGGCGATACAGACACAGTGGATAGCCCGAGACAGGATCATATATCGTTGTTGCCCAGGCAGATATCTTGGGGAAGAGAAAGCTAATTTTCCCATCAGCTCCATACTCTCTGAATAAAGAACAATGGCATACAAGTGTATCTATATTATTTGGTAGTCCGCCCTTGCCAAATTCCAAAGTGATCTCTCTCAGCTGAGATCGAACTTCGAAAGACCCACATATCAAGATAAGGGGTGGGACGTTATTGCTATACTCATAGAACTCCTTTCGACCTCTGGTGGTAATGCGCAAACCGATGCGCGAGCCCTTTGAGAAGCCTTGGAATCCTTGCGGACGGATGTTGGTCGCCGTCTCACGAGAAGCCGAAGCTCGTGAATATCTGTTCGACAACTCCTTTTGGCATTTGAAAAGAAGTCTGCAGTGCTGTTTGAAGGTCCCTTTCTAAAACGAGGATGGGTTTCGGAAATGGCGTATCTCGTTATGCTGGAATCCGAAGAGAAAAACTGATCGCACGCGCTTCTGCATTACGTGTTGTTGGGTTCCAGCTCGGGTTGAGCGTTGGTGCCTTCAAAGGCAGGCACCGAGTCACTCAACTTTCGAAACAGGCCAGGTCCCATCACCGCCAAACTGTCATTGTTCTTCTTCGCTCAATTTGCCCATTGTTCTCGTCATGATCTTGGCACATTCTGCAACTCCAATCTCATCTGGTATTGATCACATACACCGTCGCCCATCTATTCGACGCCCCATACAGCCCCTGCCCCAGATACTCTCTAAACGACAACAGGATCCTCGACGATCACAATGTTTCGATGGGAAGAATGCCTGGAAGGGCATATCCTCATCGGCTTGATCTTTAGCACATTTGCCTTCGTCTGCATGTAAGCTCGCTCGCCTCTCGTCTCGCTATACACCCTCGCCGTACACCTCTGACATTCGCTTAGGATCATAGTAACATTCTCCACCCCATTTATCAAAACCATCTACTTTCTATTCATCACAAACACAAACGGTGATGCGACACATTACGGCGCTTTCGGGTACTGTGAAGAAGAGAGCGATAGCTGTTCCAGCTCTAAAGTGGGGTACGAGCCTCCCGGACCGCAGAACGTCGACATGCCCGAGTGGCTACTCAAGACAAGTATCCTCTTCGGCATCGGTACGCCTTCCCCATCTCCCTTTCCACTCCGCCCCCATAACCTATATCTAATCTATACCTAGCCGCCCTCCTCTTCTTCATAGCCTGGATAACCCTCATCCTCTCCCTCCTCCGCTTCAAAAAGTTCGCCTGGAACCCCGTCTACTTCCGCACCTCCTGCGTCCTCGCCGTCCTCTCCGCCATCCTCGCCGAGATATTCGCGCTGGTACTATGGGTGCGCGCGAAACATGATTTTCAAGGCGATGGTTGGGTGGGGTGGGAGGCGGGGTATGGGGCGGGATTGTGGATTGGGTTGGTGGGATGTATATTCGGCGGGCTTGCGTAAGTCTCTATCTCAGAGGGGAAGAAGGTGGTGATGAAGCTGATGATAATGTAGAGCGATGATAGGAGGACCGGCGTATCAGGGGAGGTTCATGTATCGCGCTCATCCGGGAGCTGCATATAATGTATGAGAGAGTCGGCGGACAAAGATGGTTTGGCTGTAGTGATATGCATAGGCATTGAAAGCAGGGCTAGCGGATCATCAGCGCTGAGATCGGAGACGAGTCAAGGCTACGTACCCATTCGTGACTAAGAGCTCGCGCGCCCTCTGACGACCTTCGTCCTCATCGAAACAAGCATCAGCACCAACGGCCGCTGCAACGAGCGATACAGCTCACCAAGTCTCGGAGTCCTCGCTCACCATACCCCAACATCTCCCTCCAACCACCAATTATCCATCTCCCACCCCACCCCTCTCACCTTCATCCACTTCTTCCCCTCTTCCCTCTCCTCTCCCTCTCCCGCATCCCCATCGATAGCAAGCCCCTCCAACCCAACTTGCGCAGCCTCCATCCCTTCCGTCGTAGAATACGGTACCGAGGGCACAATCTTGTAACCTTCTTCTCTGGCGGCAGACTCTACGAGGGCTTGAAGCTCGCCTTGGACGAAGAGGTGGTAGTAGCGGTGGAAGACTTGGGGGGCTGGTTCGTCCGCAGGCAATGGTTGGGGTTGGGGTTCTGGGGCGGTTGGGGTTTCGGGTATGGTGGAGGTTTGAGATGGTTTGTCGGTGGTTTCTGAAGGGGAAGTGGTTGACTCTGAGGGGAGCTGAGAAGTAGCAACTTCTTGCCCAGCTAAGGCGCCCTTCTTGCCCTGCTTCCCCTCTCGCCCAGCCCTGACTCTAGGCTGTTTCACCTTCTTACCCGTCTCTCCTTTCTTTGGCGCCAATACCCAGGGCACAAGAACATCCTGCACCCTCTCCTTCGCCCCTTCTACCGCCTCTGTAGGTTCAGAATTTGAAGCAGAGTCGAGGGGTAATGAAGGGCCGGCGGCGGATCCCATCTTGCGCTTGGAGGCCTCGCCTTGTTCGTATGCCCAGACGTAGATCATGAAACGAGAGTATGGCCCCTTCTTGTTGAGTTTGAGTGGTTTCATGATAGTCTATGAGAGTGTCAGTCCATGAAGATTTGGTGGAAGAGAAGACGGAAGACGCACCTTCACAGCATGCCGCCGGCGCTCGTCGGTCGAGAGATGATGGATCGCAGCGATAGATATGGCAAAGTCGAACGTCCCCGGCCTCCAGATATTGCCACACAGATCTCCTCTTACACATTCCGCCAAATTCTCCTTCTTCTGGCCACCCTCTTTGTCTTCTCCATCTGAACCAGTATCCTGTTTTTGACCGTCGGTCCCGTTGACAGGAGTGGAGTCCGGAGATGACCCCCATCCCATGCCCCTAGCGCACTTGAGCAATCCCGAGCTCCTATCCGTCTCAATCATCTCCAGCCCATGACTATGCGCTACCGGCAAGTATTTCCCATTGCCTCCACCAGTATCCAAGCCGAGCGCGTTCTTTGGAAGGGATGAGAGGAAGGCGGAAATTAGCGGCCAGGGCTAATTCAGATGTCAGTCAAAGTCAGATAGTGAGAGGAGAGGGATTGAGGCGTACTTTGAAACGAGTTTGGGAAAAGTGAGGGGCGATGGCTTCGTATACTTCGTGGACGTTGCGTTCTTCTTCGACATCCGGATTAACGAAAGGGGCGACGGGCTGGGGGATGGGTTTTGGCATATTTTTGGGAGGGAAAGCCGTGTGTTGGGTTGATACCGTACTGCCTGAGTTATCTTGATGCGGTGGTGAATTTGTCTATGCAAGAGCATATGGCTATTCCAAATATCATCGGTGCTCGACGACGACGAAGTTGAAAGGTGGAGGCAAACTTACGTAACAGCATACATGAAGAAGTACGCGACGCGCCTGTAATTATCAGAGCATTTTGTTTGGATTCTTTTGAACAGTCACAGAATAGCACTGGCAAATGAGAATGTCCTTATAATCAACAATATACCCTTACATCAAAGATTTCCGACATGCCCTCCAGCTCATCGGCACCCATAGTCGTGAGCGACGACAGCGACAACGACACTCGGCCCCTTGTCGCGAAGGGCAAGCAGAAGGCAGCGCCCAGCAAAGCGGTGAAGGGAGAGACAAGAGTAGAATCATCTGGAACCCTCGATCTGGATGCCAGAGATGCCCTCAAGACAGCGCTTGCTAAACTTGATTCAGAGGTAGGTGCTGTAGCGCCATAGTGAGTCCAAGCTCACTTTGCGGTAGATTGAAGAAGTGGTCGACCAACTCAAACCTCTACAAGCCCTTCACACTTCCTTGACTGCCGAGAGAAAAGCTCTAGAGCAGCAGCTATCCGGCAGCTCCAAAACCGCCCCCTCTAACACTGTTGTCTCTTCGACTGGTTCGATAGACTACCAGTCTTCCTCTTTCCCGTTCACCAACGCGATTCAGCAAACTCTCAAAAACGTTTTCAGCCTATCTTCCTTTCGGCTGTGTCAACAAGGCGTCATCAACGCTGCTGTAGATGACCGAGATATCGTCTGTGTCATGCCGACAGGAGGAGGCAAGAGTCTGACATATCAGCTGCCGGCGGTGATGGGACGCGGATTGACGGTGGTAGTCAGTCCTCTGCTCGCTCTGATATGGGATCAAGTACGAGGCTTGAAGGAGATAGGGATAGAATGTGCGGTACGTCTGATGTTCGTCTCCAATCTAATACAAGAGCTCATGTGATCTCAGATGTTGACTGGTGGCACGAGCACGGAAGAGCAAAATGACATCTACGCGAGGATGAAGGATGGCCCGCAGAAGGGTGAGAAGGAGATCAGGGTAAGTCAAGATCATGTCGTTTTTCTCCTCAGGCACTGACACTCCAATCAGCTAGTCTATGTGACTGTAATTTCTTCGTATACCTCGCTCGGAAGACGTTCTTATACAAAGCGTAGCCCGAGAAGATCGCCAAGTCGAAGCGTTTCGTTGCCATACTGGATAAGATGAACCAATCTGGTCGATTAAGTGAGTGAGCTTTCATCTCTGCATGAATAGCAAACCTGATATGGCATAGAGCGGTTCGTCATAGGTATGTTTTGCTACTCGGCAATCGCATACGAACATGTGGCTAACAGCTGATAGACGAGGCGCATTGTTGCAGTCAACTAGGACATGGTGAGTCTTCTTCTATCTGCCACACGTACACGTACTCATCTTATGGCAGACTTTCGGCCCGACTATAAACAGCTTTCCATGCTGAAAACTCTCTTCCCTCGCGTCCCTATCCAAGCAGTTGTACGTCTTCCCTCGAGTAGTTTTCATCATCTCGCTCATTCCCCATAGACCGCCACTCTTTCCTCCAAAACCCTCCCCGATCTACTCAAGATCCTCCAGCTCCCACCTATCACAGACGGCCGTTCCGCCAAATCTTCCGGCACCATCTTCTTCTCCGCTCCCCTCTTCCGGCCAAACCTGCACTATAAAGTGATACCCAAACCAAGCAACGCGAAGGGAGGAATCGCAGCTATCGGCGCGTGGATACAAGAGCATCATCCAGGGGAGAGTGGGATTGTGTACTGTTTGAGTAAGAAGGATGCGGAGAATGTTAGTGATGATTTGAAGCAATGGTCGAATGGCGATATCAAAGTAAGCTCCTTCCTTCATCGTTTGCGTGCGCGCAATAATGCTGACTGGTGCTCAGACTGGCGTCTATCACGCAGGCATTGACGACCACCAAAAAGAACGTATCCACCTCGACTGGCGGCGTGGAAAAATCAACTGCATCTGCGCTACTATCGCCTTTGGCCTCGGTATCGACAAGGGCGACGTCCGCTATGTCATTCACCACTCACTCTCAAAGTCGCTTGAAGGGTTCTATCAAGAGACAGGGAGAGCAGGGAGAGATGGGAAAGATTCGGATTGCGCATTGTTTTATAGGGGACAGGATTGGACGAGGTTGGCGGGGATGGTGGCTAAGGATGTGGATGGGTTATCGAAATGTGGGTCTTTTTCAGTGAATTGTTGCGCCGATTGCTGATGATTATCAGTACACGAGATGGTCAAATTCGCTCAGGATCTCAAGACCTGCCGCAAAATCGCTTTCGCGAAATACTTCTCCGCCTCATCCCATCTCTCCGTCTCCGCCTGGGACACCGCCGATACCCTCTCTTCCTCATCCTCCGGTCCCTCAGGTGGCAACGGTGCCACAACTTCGTGCGGTATCTGCGACAACTGTCTCCGGCCACCCGACTCTGTCTCTACCAAAGACGTCACATTAGAATCATGGAAGATTCTCTCGATCATGGATGAAGTCCAGCGCCAACACGGCCGAGTCACACTCCAAAACCTTGGGTCGCTCGCGCGAGGATTAGGCGGGGGTGCTTTCCCGCTTGTGGCTGGTTCGGAGAGGAGGAGAGGGAGGGGGAAGGAAAAGAATACGGGAGAGAAGGGGGAGGTGGATGTGAAGGATTACGGAGGCAAGGTCGATTTGAATGCCGATGTAAGTCAAGTCTTCCTATATTGAGAGGACAGTTGGACTGACGAGATTGCAGGATATCGAGATTCTGTTGACGCATTTGATGTTGCTCGGGTGTCTCAAAGAATCGTTCCATGCCACTTCCTGTACGTCATTGTCTCTTCAATTCTCTCTCTCTTCCTCGCGCAGACTTGTGCAAGTGCTGACGCCGACTCCAGTCTCCGTCAACGTCTATGTCAACGCCTCTTCCACCGCCATCCGCCTTTCCCGCCTATCCCACGACGCTGTTGAATCTGGCAACTCGCCCGTCAAAATCGAATGTACCTTCCCAACGGCGGCACCGAAGGAGAAGAAGAAGGCCGTCCGGAAGAAGGCTAGCGCGGGGACTGGGAAACGAAAGAAGAAGGGTGATGGGGCGGACGATGAAGAAGAGGATGAAGATGAAGATGAAGGAGAATCGCCGCCGCCAAAGAAGAAATCCGCCCCTCGTGCGTCAACCTCCAAGACCAAAGCCGCCAAATCATCGAAACGCGTGTCCGAGCCCGAGCCCGCGGACGATGATGAGGAAGGCGAGGATCCGGACGAGTATGAGGCGTACCTTCAAGATTTGGTGGCGCAGCAGGAAGATCAAGATGGTGGAGAAGATGATTGGGATGAGATGATGGGAGAGGGGTGGAAAGATGATGGAGGATGGAAGGTCTTAGGGGCTGGTGCTGGGCCTGGGCCTAGGTCTGGGGCAGCGTCAACCAAGAGCAAAGGTGGCGGTAGGAGGGCGGTAGTTATATCTGACAGTGAATAATTGTTGTCAGCATGTATATTCAGCATTGTCATTCTACACTCGGGCAGTTTAGGAGAGAGTATGACCAAGCATGGATAGCGAAACAACCTAGATTACACGATCCCAAAGCGCAGTGTAGTGTCACCCGATATTACGCTCTCGTAAACATCGATAAACCCCAAAGGAGCAAAAAATAAAGAAAGCAACATCGACTACCAAGAGAAGACTCTTCGAAGTAACCAAGCTGCTCGGGGCTGACCTCGCCCTCCTCGGTACCACATACATCCGACATAGCCGCTCGCAAATCATACATCATCCATCCCGGCCCACAAGCCAGCACACACAAAGACTCGGACCCCACAAGCTTGTCGAGCCAAGCAGCCAACACATCCGCCATTCGGGGCAGACCGGAGCGGACACACTCCTTGCCAGAAAGCTTGGGCGCGAGGGAGGTCGAAGAGGAAGAAGAGTTGAGAGACTTTTCGGCGGATCAGAGCGTCTTTTCGTCAGAAGGCGTCGAGATGGGAGAGTTGTCGTTGGTGGAGAAGGGGATGGCCTGAATCTGAGCTTGTTCGAAGAGAGGGGTGGTGACGCCGGAGGAAGCGGCGGTATAGATCTGGATGTAGACGTTGAGTCCTTCGAGATCGCGGTAACCGGCGAGCTCGTAGGAAAGCACATCTGAGGCGCACTCGTTGTTTTTGACGACCCAAACGAGGGTGGCTTCGCGCGTGACAGAGGTACTAGACCCAATGCGTCGCTTGAGGTCGTTCAAGTAGGGAATCTAGGAGGCTTCTGGACTATGAAGATGCTATGGAGCCCCCTAAGTGCATCTCAAGAGGAGGTATGGGGAACCTATGAAGAGGATTGACGGCACTGGTTTACTTGAGGTAGTGATGATGCATGGCGTGATTTGGCGGACCAAACTTGACTGTTATTCTATTGTTGCAAAACATGAAACATGACCTGGTGGGTCTAAGCTATCATCATCATCTGGATGGCTGTAAGAGCTGATCATATTGAGAGAGCGCAGCTTCGAAACTCGGACTACAGTGAATAGATATCACGATATATGGCCAGATAGTGAAGTTCGTTGGTTCAAGAATGAGTAAAGCGATTGGTGACAGCTGTGCGACGCGTAGGAGAGGGAAGTAATGATAGCGAAGGAGAGGGTTCAATAGCGAAGAGGAGGAGTTCGTTACAACGGCAATACATATGAAAATGACAACGACTGTGGCACGCGGGTTAGCTCTCGCTTGCTCTCCCTAGCCACACTGTCTCTGCTGCTGATAAGCATGACGAGAGCGATGAAATGTATCAATGATCTCGATTGTTGATTTTCTTACATCACCGACGCCGACGGCACCTATCTAAACTGACTTTCGATCACAAAGCATGCTTGGTAGTGACAACTAGGTGGGAATGGGACTGTCAGGCAGTAGCTAGTATTATATTTCGACTCTCGTCATCCATTGCGGCGTTTGGACGTTCACCAATATCTCTCAGAGGGGTCCCTCATTGCCAGATGGTTGAAAGGAGCCATGCGGCCAAGGATTTCATCCATTCCTTTTTCGCCTTTGTACTTTGGCTTCAATGCCATGATCAAGTTCCCTGCGTCGTGGGAATGGCGGCCCACCAAACAGGAACCAATGGCGCGCCGGTTCTTCATACAAAAGCAGATCCATCTCATTAAAGCGATGGCTTTAAGGCTTCTCTTCTCCATAAAACCAAATCCAGAGCCTCACGTTGCTGCAACACATCACTGACAAACTACAATGTCTAGCCCTCAATCTAATAATACCAGATCAGAGCTCCTGGCCACAACGATCTTAGTGGAGGGATGTTTCCCCACGCTAATTGCTACCGGCGCAAGCGATGACGGTCACCATAAACACGTATCCTACCCTGTCATCGATGCGCGCGCGTTTGTCAAAAGCTTCCAGAGTGATGGTCATGGGAGAGAAGTGTCAGTGCCTGTGCCAATCGAAGTTGAAGAGGCGGCGAAGGAATACATGGACATGGTCGGTCGCGTGTGCGAGCGACTGCAAAGTGAACCCCCACTGCCCCAATGGGATGGGACCATCACAGCATTTCGACAGTACACTAATCGAGCTCACACACGCCGACAAAACCAGCTCTCGGAGGTCGTGCCCCACGTTTACGCCTCTAGAGACACATGGCCATTCACTTGTCGCGTTCACGCGAATGTCCAAGAGCTTCTAGAGGATGGCGGGCAGCTGTTGGGTCCGGAAGACCAGCCTATGGAGCCATCCCACTACGCAGATAGGTTAACCCGCACGGTGAAAAGTGCAAAGAACCTCGATCTACTCAGTCATGTATCACCAGGAACTATCAAGATAGTTTTTACTACTCATCTCACTGAACCCTTGAGACTGGTGAAAAAAGACGCCGACTCATCCAACAACGAGGGGGAAGACATAAGACCGCTGCATGACTGGGGGTTGCTTTATCCTCAGGAAAGTGTCGAGTGTCAAGTCACAGATGATTCTCCCGAATGGATCAAGAGAAACAGGGCAGCCCAAGAAGCCTACCGGCAATCCATCATCGAGGCGATTGGTGATTCAACTGACCCGGGGACTTCAGTAGAACTGACTGTAGAGACAACTGCTGACGACTTTGTTCAAGACACAAAGCGTTACGAGCAGCTTCTTTTCAGAGAGGCAGCATATATTACCGCCAATCAGGTGTCTTTTAGAGAAGGTGAGACGCATAGGGTGGGAGCACCTTCGATCGATACGGACGACTTAGAGATGGAAGATGATGAGGGGGAGCTTGTAGATGGCCATTTGGTCAAAGCTGTCTGGCTTGACCCTTCCATGTTTGCTGTTCTAACCGGACAGCAGCCGAAAGGACGAGAATTCTACTCCAAGAAGTTTTCCGAGTACAAGACTTCTATTGAAGAAGGTCTTGCCACGATGCGGAGAGAGGTTGAACAAGGGAGGAGCGAGGTAGACGACTTTGTCCCATCTGGAGCGAGAGAATGGGGGACCTGGACCCAGCTATCGGATGTGTAGTACTAGGCCACCTGCAATTATACGTGATCGAGTGTTGTGAGTTGGATGACGATGCAGATGCGTTGATGATGTAGAGATGGACAGCATTTCCATTTACCTGGCCTTATCCGATCCGTCTTCTTGTTGCCATGCGCTTCCTGTGTCATGTATCCTCTCATCATGTTTTACATGTATGTGCACTTTACACCTTTTTCTGCATGCGTCAGGGAAGGAGGAAAAGCGGCACTGAGCAAGGTGCTTGCAAGAGACATAGCAACCTTACAACTGGCTCATCATATATGTGGACAACATTAGTCTGACTGTGTGAATGTGTGGATCATCGAACAAAACGCGTGCACATATACCAGCATTATCTGAGCTCATTCGATTACGCCTGTTTCTGGGTCTTTCTTACTTGTCTTCGAGTATTCAAGCGCATCTGACAGTTTTTGGACCGATCAAGCATCCCAAAGTCCAATAACAGCGCTACATGTTTGGAAGGGGAATAATGATCCTAATTTTTGGTATCGCAAGGGATGCGAAAAGCGCTTATAACGGGCCTGACTCCCTCCTCTTATTCTTCTAGGATAAGCACTCTTATCACCCCGGTCCATCATCAGCTCAGTCATGCATCATGCCCAACCCTCCATCCAGCTATACTTATTAAGTTGCCTTGGTAGTAACGAGTAAAAGTTTTCGGGGAAAGAGTTATACGATAAGGGAAGAGTAAGAACAGCTCTTGATATGGGGTCAAGACACTCCCATGTTGTGGGTGGGTATATAGTCCAAGTCTCGTGGTTTGATCCTGAAACGTGTGATGTCGTTAGTGGACAGACACATAAAGAGCGGCCATTCCATACTGGGAGACGTTTGGAGTATGGAAAGCTTATTGAGGAAGGCCTTGCGACGATGTGGGGAGAGCTCGAAGGAGGGAGTGCGGCCGGCAATGATGGCCGGTCTGAAGAGGAGGTATGGTGTCTTTTGTCTTTTTGAAGTAGGAGTGCGCCATGTTACTTGCAGATGATCCAACGAAGATGTGTCAAAAGTGTGGTAGCGAGAATGCACACGTTCCCGCTTGTCATAGTCACACGTTGTTCATACATATCCCCTATTCCTAATCATATTTTACAAATTTATCTACGCTTCTACCCTATCTACAACCCCAAAACGTCGGACCCAAACA